ACTGTGCATGTAGAAATTTTTGAAATGGTGTATCTTTGGCTATGTGTATTTTCACCAAAAAAAAAAAAAAGAGGTTGAGAAGTTAGAGGGTTGATATGTTGTGAGGCTGTTAACCAATGTTATAAAACAGTATGTGTACTTCTGTTTCATGAGAAACTACTTCACCTGATGTACAATTAAAAAAAAAACCTGGAAAAAAAAAAGTGGATACTGGCAGCACTACAGCCCCTTTCTGGGACCTCCCTGAAGGACAGTGGTGAAGGGAAATCCTCTCAATGAGCAGCACTTCGAGCAGTGCTCCTGATTGTTCAGTTTTCTTGGAAGGAGAAATAGCCAGATGTGTAATTGTATACTGATTCATGGTCTGTGGCCAATGGTTTGGCTGGATGGTCAGGGACATGGAAGGAACATGACTGGAAAATTGGAGACAAGGATTTATGGGGAAGAGGTATGTAGATAGACCTCTCCGAATGGGCCAAAGAAGTGAAGATATTCATGACTCATGTGAATGTTCACCAAAGGATGACCTCAGCAGAGGATGATTTTAACAACCAAGTGGATAGGATGACGCGTTCTGTGGAAACCAGTCATCCTCTTTCCCCAGCTACTCCTGTCATTGCTCAATGGGCTCATGAACAAAGTGTCCATGGTGGCAGGGATGGAGGTTATGCATGGGCCCAGCAATGTGGACTTCCACTCACTAAGGCTGACTTGGCTAGAGCGACTGATGAGTGCCTAATCTGCCAGCAGCAGAGTCCAACATGAGTCCCCGATATGGCACCATTCCTCGAGGTGATCAGCCAGCAGCCTGGTGGCAAGTTGATTACATTGGACAAGTTCCATCATGGAAAGGGCAGCATTTTGTCCTTACTGGAATAGACACTTATTCTAGATATGGATTTGCCTTCCCTGTACACAATGATTCTGCCAAAACTACCATCCATGGACTTACAGAATGCCTTATTCACCGTCATGGTATCCCACACAGCATTGCCTCTGATCAAGGGACTCACTTCACAGCAAATGAAGTGCGGCAGTGGGCCCATGCTCATGGAATTCACTGGTCTCACCATATTCCCCATCACATATAATGAACTATTATTTGGCCATAAAAAGGAATGAAGTACTGATACATGCTACAACATGAATGAACCTTGAAAACATTATGATAAGTGAAAAGAGCCAGTCACAAAATTACCATATGCTATATAATTCCTTTCATATGAAAGTCTATAATGACACAAAGTAGATGGTTGCTTAGGGCTAGGGGTGGGCAATGGGAGGTAAGAGGGTGATAGCTAAAGGTTACAGGGTTTCTTTTTGAGGTGATGAAAATATTCTAAAATTTACAATGGTGATTGTTGCATGTATCTGTGAGTAAACTAAAAACCATTGAATTGTGCATATAAATAGGTGAATTACATGGTAGTGAATTATATCTCAATAAAGCTGTTATGAAGACAGAAAGTTAAAAGATTATTATTTAAAGATAAATAATCCTATTGCCCACAAGTCAATTCTGACTCATAGCAACCCTGTAGGACAGAGTAGAACTGTCCCATAGGGTTTCCAAGGAGCAGCTGGTGGATTTGAACTGCTGCTGACCTTTTGGTTAGCAGCTATAGCTTTTAACCACTGCACCGCTAGGGCTCCAAAGGTAACTAATAGTAGACAAAAATAGTGACTTAACTATGTCAGAAGGTGGGGAAAGGAAAGTGGGAAAGTTACAGCAGCTTAATTTCTCTTCTATCAAAACAGAAAGCCAGTGGATGATGTCTACAATGAGCGTACAGAGGTATAATCATCTTCTGTACAGACATGGAGGTAAACATCGAAGTTATTAAAAAAACAAAACAATGTTAAAACTGGCTCCCTCTGGGGAGTGTGATTCAAATGGACAAGTGTATGGCACGTATTACGGTTGAATTGTGTAACCCAAAAAGATATATTGAAGTCCTAAGTTCTAGCACATGTGAATGTGGTCTTATTTAGAAGTAGGGTCTTTGCAGATGTAAGTTAACATGAGGCCATACTGGAGTAGGGTGGGCCTTATATAACTGGTGTCCTTATAAAAAGAAGATAAGAGACACATACACAGAGGGAAAATGGCCATGTGAACATGAGAGAGAGAGCATGGCCCTACTGACACCTTGATTTCAGACTTCTAGCCTCCAGGATTTTGACAGAATAAATTTCTATTGTCTTAAGGCACCAGTTTGTGGTATTTTGCTACAGCAGCCCTAGGAAATTAATACAGTAAGGAACTCCTTTTGTTTACCCAACATGTATTATTTTGATTTTAAATATTAATTGTATTGAAAATAATTACTCTTGAAATGCTTATAATATCAATCTAATTATCAGTGTGTCTTACTTACCATTATCACCATTTATTCTTATTTCATATTCTTTGTAGAGTTTTCCTATGGTTTTGTTGATTTCCTTCATGTAGAGTTGCTCTGGTGGCATTTCCCCTTCCATGTTTTTATGGCGATTAAATATCCCGAGCCCAATATCTGCCCAGTTTTCCTGTAAATGTTTAATAATCTTGAGAGAATCATATTTTGACACTAGAATATCCCCAGTATACTTTTCTTTATCATCATTCAGCATCTAGAAAATGAAGGTGGGGAGGAAGTAATACACTATTCACTAATGATTTCTTCAAAGTCTACCCAGGTCCTTATTTCCCAGTGACTCCAATTATTTTTGAGTTGTATGTCCTACTATTATTTGTTCATGCCATTTCTCATCCAAAGAAATTATATGTGATATGTATTTTATTTTTAAAATTAAAATGAATTTAAATTAATTTTGATACTGTATGTGATAACCCATAGTTTACCAGGATAAAAACCATTACACTAAATCCTATATGGATAAAAAATTATTGATAGACAATTAAGTCCTAGAGACCTGACCTCATTTAATTACTACCTGCTTTAGTAAGAACATGTTAGGTTGTAATGTATCTGTTTACATGATCTCTACTACACTGCAAAAGTTCCTGGAAAGTACAGGTTGTGCTTTATTCTTCTGTTTAAACCCAAGTCCAGGTCCTGTAAATGATATATCAATAAAGTTTTTGGAAAAAACAAAGTGCAACTTACAGATAAAGTTTGCCATTATTTGTGACTCAGAAAATGGAAACAAATCACCTACCTTCAATAAGAGTAATCACTATAGGGAAGCAGTGTAGCACAGCAATTAAGGGTAAAGATTTTTGAGTTGGAGAGACTTGGACTCAAATTTTGACTCTACCACTTACCATTTATAGATAACTTAGGCAAGTCACTTTATATTTCTAAGTTTCAATTTCCTCAGCTGTGAGATGGGGATTATAAAACCTGCATCATATGGCTGCCTTGAAGATTAAGTAAAATAGTGTACGGAAAGCATTTTTAGTTCCTGACAATGATTAAGAGGTTAATAAATGAGAATTATTATTATTCCCAATAATGAAGAAACATGATTTTTTTTTCAATTTTATCTATGCAATGTCAAAATTGCCAGATAAACAGTGAAAAAAAGTCAGTAAACGAGACATTTTGTATATAGGACAACAAATATCTTCAATTCTGAGAATGTTTTACTCTAGTCATTTCAAGAGAAAAGAAAATGGCTTCTTGGGATCTGGATGAAATGTCATCAGACCGTGAGTTTAATATTAACTTTGGAGATATTTCAATGTCTTATATATTTTCCTTTGTCAGACTACTATATCATGATAGAAATTTGATAAATGAAATCTAGCTTAAAAGCTCAAACCCTTTCAAAGGGATGTTATTAATTTTAAAAGTCCAATTTGTCCTTAACACAAAAGCTAGGTACAGGAGAGGCACAGATGTTACTTATGTCTGACAATCAGGTGAGAGAATCAGAGGTACCCTCACTGCCACCCAAGAATCTTTTCCCAGTTTTTTTCTGGCAGCCTAACTTTATTTGACCCCAAAATCTGAAATAGAACTGAAAATACATTGTGTATTTTAAAAAGTCCCTGTAGTCTTCTTGTTTTCCTTCTCTTTCATAAAACTTAATATGACATTTGTAAAGGATGAGATATAACTCAATTGCAGGTTTTTGTTGTTAGTTGCCAAGCTGGCCCCAACTCATGGCAACCTTATGTATAATGTCCTGCACAACCCGATGATCATTGGTATGTTTGAGTCTATTGTAGAGGCTAGTACGTCAATCCATCCCAGTATTTTGATTATCTAGCTGTTTATCAGAAAGTCTTACCTTTACCCATAGCTTAAAGTCTGGATGAATTGGATCCAATATACCTCCCTGAATAAAAGGAGAATTGTCTTTTCCACTGAAAGAAAAGAACAAGAGAAGGGTCCAGAACAAATTATAAACAAAGAAAATCATGAGTCTATACAATATATAACAATATTATGTCTACCTTCCTTACGATTTTCAAGGGGGCATACATCCTTAAATTTACAAATATAAATATAAACTTAGACCTTAATCAGGCCTGAGCAAACTAGTTACATAGCCACCGGCCATGGCAGTCTTAAATGGGTGGTCTCTGGGCATTTGGTGTTCAAAACTAGATCATCATAAGAATAATTCCTGTTGAATGCACCCGCCAAAACAGTATATAAATAGAAAGGAAGTCTAATAAGTAATTAACACTCAATATTTAGGTCAGTAGCTCCAACTTCTTGTAAGACTTAAATTTCTCTGAAGTTTCACAAGGAAAGAGATATTGCTAGAGAAGTTTCCGAAGGGAAAAGAGAAGAGAATCACTGCCACCTGTGCTCCCCTCCCAGCTAAGAGTCAACAAACAGTAGACCTGGGCACATGATAGCACGAAGCAACCTGGAGATGCACCAATTTCAGCTTCCAGAACTTCCAGATCTATTCATTGGGGAACTTCTTAGAGGGCATGACAGTTTGAAGCCACTGTTAGCAATTTAAAACAGAATGGTACCTAAATGTGTCTCCTCAACGGAAAAATCATCTTAAATTTTAAAGAAACCTTAGAAATCATTGAATCCAGCCTCCATCCAAAGTATAGACTCCCACTAACCTTGGCCATCATTTAGACATCTAGCCTCAACTTAACTACTTTATAGGCAGTCTCTTTCATTGTCAGATTTTTCTGTTACAAAGAATGATGCTCAGTCAAAATCAGGTTTCCTATAACTGCCACCCACTGATTCTACTTTTCTCCACATGCACTATGCTATGGAATTTGCAGGTGGATTCAGATATTCAAGTATGCCAAGATGACTTTATTTTTAAAAAAAAAAAAAAAGGAAAAGAAAAAGAATTGGACTAGTTGGGCAGGAGGATCATGACGGACTACAGAAACTACCACTAGAAACTGCAGACTCCTTCAAGGTCCTAGCAGGATTGTAGCCTTGTAAGGGCTGCTTCCCCAAAAATCAATCTTTGAATAATTACAAGGTAAGAGAGAGAGAGACAGACAGGGGCAGGAGGAGAGCAAGGAGAGACAGAAAGAATTGGACTGAGTTATCAGACATGACAGTATAATTAAAAAAAAAAAAAAGATTCTTGGAGACTCACATATTATTTTTTAAGAACTTCTCCCATTTGATAAGGCCATTCTTAACAGTTTGCAATGTCTCCCGTGTAGACTCTTCACTTTGTTCCATCTCCTGTTTAAATGTATTCACTAAGTTTCTCCATTTCTGTGTCAACTTCTGTAACAGTGCAAGGTCTGCAGTATCCTAGATAAAATGCATGGAATCAAACAACTTAGGCATTTATTCATGTAGCAAAATAATTGTCAATATGCACCAGGCACTTATTTATATTGTAATACTGGAGACATCCATAGGAAACGGATCAAAATAACAAAAACAGAACTTCTCTTTCAAAATATCAGTGACACAACCACACAGTTCCTTTGATGATGGATTTTCCATGGTACATAAAGCATTTGGGACAAGATTCTTTTTCCTTTGCAACATGAAACCCATTTTCCTATAGGTCTTTCATGGGAGGCAGTGTGGTACAGTGGCAAGAACAGGAACTGCGAAGCCACACAGACCCAGGTGTGAATCCTAGCCATTTACTAGCTGTGTAACCTTGGGGGAAATTTATTTAATCTATATGTGACTGATTTTTATTATCCATAAAATAAAGACCATAATACATATCTCATAAGACTGCTGTAAGACTTAAATAAGATGACTATAGCAAATGGCTTGACTCATGGAAGAAACACACCAAATGTCAGTTCTCTCCTTTTCTCCCTAGTGTGCTCACTTAATTTTCCTATAAAATTGCACAGAATGCATTGATAACACAACTACTTAAATAAACACTGCTTCTTACATATTATATCTTTTCAGTTTAAGCACTAATAAATAGAATGGAGACTATAGTATCTGCAATGTTATTAAACTTAGATAAATTGGTTTACAATAGAAGACAGATAAAAGGAAATAGTTTTTATTTTCCTTAGACTTTTCATTCTACTTACAATAAAGCACAAATATAAAACTATACTTTAAAATCCATAAATTTAGCAAAGACATATTATAGTCTCAATACTCAACATCCTGAGTCTCTTTTCCCATAACTTAGGTTAACCTAGATTTACCTTGGTTGACAGCAGTATGATGAAATACTTAGTGTATTTATTCCAGCCTTTTTCATTGAGGTAAAGTCTTTTAGCCAACATGACTTTATTTCTTACAATTACCTATAAAAACATGTACTATAATCAAAAACCTAAAACATTAACAAACCATTGCAGTTTTTAAACCCAAACCAATTTAATTCACATATTAATTTTTCATTGAATAATTTGACTCAACCAATATTTCTTACTTAAATCATGAACTAATTTGAATCATAAATTCATGTTTTCTAAAACTAATAAGCTGAAACCAAATTGAATTATATAGCAGAGGTTCTCCAACAATTTGGTCTCAAGACTCCTTTACACTCTTAAAAACTGAAGACTCCAAAGAGCTCTTGTTCATATGGATTATACCTATCAATACTTACTGTATTAGAAATTAAAATAGAAATCATTTAAATATGTATTTGTTAATTCACTTTAAAATAAAATTAATAACATGTTAACATAAAAAACACTTTTACGAAAAATAACTTTTCAAAACAAATCAGTGAAAAGAGTGCCATTGTTTTACATTTTACAAATCTCTTTAATGTCTGCTTTAATAGAATACAGCTGGTTCTCATATTTGCTTCTGCATTCAGTATAATGCAATATCCCATGTCACGTAGCTTCTAGAAAAGTCCACTGTACACTCATGAGAGAATGAGAGTGAAAAAGGCAAATAACATCTTAGTAGAATTAGAAACCTTGACGTCGAGGACCTTCTGAAAGGGTCTCGTGGACCCCCCAGGAGTCCCTGGACCATACTTTGAGAACCACTGATAAATCTAATAAACTATATAGTCACTCAGTGAATACCTATTCTAGATACTGTGGATATAGCTTTGAACAAAAAAGACAAAGTCCTGCTTTTCAGGCAGCTGACAGTCTAACTCTCACTTTGGGTTGGAACAGACGTTAGGGATGATCTAATGCAAAACCCCAACCATGCTATGTACTCTTCCACAGAAATCTCTACCAGGGGTCAGTCCTCTACTGCTTAAATACTTCTAGATTAGAGGGCTCACTTGTCCTCCTTTTCTCTCCTGCTGAACATGTCTATCTCCCAGATTTATTATATATTTACCGTCAAGATTGTTTCCTCTGGACATGACAATGTCCCTCTTTAAATTCTGCATCAGGATGCAACACTGTGTCCTAGATGAAGTCTGACCATCCTAGAGGAAAATGAGACAACTATGTCCTTCTATTCTCTCTACTGGAGCCCTGGTTGTGCAGTGACTAAGCATTTGGCTACTAACCAAAAGGTTGGCAGTTGGAATCCACCAGCCGTTCCTTGGAAATCCTATGGGGCAGTTTTACTCTGTAGTCTAGGGTTGCTGTGAGTCAGAATCAACTCAATGGCAATGGATTTGGTTTTGGTATTCTCTCTACCGCTATCCATGTAAGAGTCTAGCGTGTTTTAAGAACCACCTCATGCAGTTGGCTTATACTGAATTTGCAGTCATTTCAATGTCACAGGTCTTTTTTCACATGGCCTGTTCTTAGCCTGGGTCTCTTACATCAGGTGGTTGGCCTGAATTTTGTTTGTTTTTCCCTGAAGACAGTACAGCATAGTAATTGGGAGTTCAGGTTCCAGAGCCATTCTTACTAGGTTCACCCTTTATTAGCTGTGTGAGCTTGGGCAAATTACGTCTCTGAGTCTGTTTCCTCATTTGAAAAATGTAGGTAATGACAGTCTTATTCCATGAGATTGGCTATTAGAATTATGGTAATTACTCTCTTAGCAAAGTACCTGGCAATAGCAATAACTGAATAAATTATTGCTGCTTTTATAAGATTAATCATAGTGATTATTAATGTAAATATTAATAAGAATAACCTATACATTTAACCCTACTAACATTTCATTTGTCTGGATAGGTCCATCATTCTAGATTGTTGAAATACATTTGAATCTCTTAAGTTTTTTATCAACTTTTGTATCAACAACCAACACATAGTATAATGTCTGACACATAACAGGTCTCAATAAAGCCTGTTTAAAACAAAAAAAAAGATGACTAGATTCTCAAAAATTATCATTTTTAATCAAAATAGTTAATACACAATTGTTAAAAGAAAGTCAAATAATATAGAAATATAAAGTAAAAACTCAAAATTCCAACTTTAAAATTCAATTCACCAAAGATAGTCAGTGTTTTACGTTGGTGTGTCATTAGTGAAGGTTTTTCTTTTTTAAATGTATATACAAACTACACACATATAGTTTAAAAATATATTTATTATAGTTTTAATTAAATATATATTGCATTTTACAATAAATATATAACTCTAAAACTTGGTTTTTTACTTAACAATTTATCATAGCCATCTTTCCATGTCAGTATATATGTCTGCAACATTCTTTTAAAATATCGTCAGCTCCGAGACTTCCGGCAAAATGGCGCTCTAGGCAAAAGCACCACGCCGTTCCTCCACAGCAAAGATCCGAAAAACTAAGCTGAATAGAGAAAACAACAATCCTGAAAACCTAAAACATCAAATGAAGAGATAAAGAACTCAGCCAAGCACCAAATGGAGTGAGAAAA